ACCCCAGCTCTTCCTGTGCCCCAGTCAGCCCCGGGCCTAACGCACTCATGAAGGGTTATAGAACCCAATCTCACCTTCCCCAAACAGATTCTTCTGGTCCCAAGAAACCAGCCACAGATCCCAATCGATCTACACTCTGGATCTTACCCACAAGATCACGCTGAGCCAATCCTTTAGAATCTAAAATCTAAAGGTTTATTACTAAAAGAAAGAAAAGCATGAGAGAGAGGTTGTTAAAGAAAATACATTGCATGCACCGAATCATCCAGTTCTCGAAACAGGCTCTTAGCGGAGCTATTATAAACTGCTATCTTAAAAGTCTCTGGTGTACATCCTATGTCAGGATGGGTCCACCGTTCTTCCCGGCTCATTGTTCCCTGCAAGGCTGCATTTGAGATGAGGAGCTGAACTCAAGACAAAAGATGGAGGGTGCCACATGACACTTATATACCTCCCCGGTCATCTTCCTGGCCAGAGAAGGTCACATGGTCCAACGACCTATCCCTGTGTTCCATACTGGCAGCCCTTCAGCCTTGGCTGGTTTGCAGGTATCAGTCACATTCCTGAGGGGTGTATTGGCACCTTGCTAATTATTATAGCCCTTGGCTGAGCATTCCTTGCCCATTGCTCTGCCTCAGACAGAGAACCTTCCAGGATCAACATAGAGTACATATTTGTAACTCCACACACAGATATCATACGAGTACATGAATAGCATCTACAGGATCAGTAGAACATAAGCTCACATGGCCCCCTTTGTACCAACTTTTGGGGCAAACACCCTTCCTGCACAGGTGCAATATTGAGCTGTCTGATCCCCTTAAAATCCAGTAACATGACACACACACCCTTTTTTTTTTTTGCTCAACAGAATTTTTTCCCTTTTTTGGGGGAGGGGTATTTTTTGTTAATCCATCTGGCAACCCAAAGGCCACACGTAATGCCGAATATTCTTATTGTATGCCCTGTTGTTCCTAGGTTTTCCAGTGGAGCCGCACTTCCTATTACAGCTTATAAATGTGGCTGTTATAACCCCTCGTCACTTAGAACTTGACAAATTTCTTCCCTTTTGGAATGGAACTTACCGAACTATAACTGCAAGGGGGGCGGTTTTGTTCACTGGTTTTAATATGCGAGGGTCACCTTTTTGGCTGACACAGTAGGGCATGAATCAGTAATTTCTGGCATTGAAATTATGAGCCTCTACAGTTTCAAGTAAGGAGCTATCTTTGGCAGCTGTATGTTGTAACAGGCCCTGTTTTCTGTGGATCAGGAGAGGGAAGTTATAAAAAGTGTTTGGACCACGAGCAATTCACGGGTCTCAGAGCATCAGGAGAGCAGAAAAAAATCCATTTTCCTCTTCACATAAAAGTTCTATTTGTGACTATTCTGGTCACAAACTACTTCGAGGAAGAGAGTTGAAAATTGATGTGGAAATAGCCCTAATTGTGGAGAACTGCCCTTCAGTGTTCCAGTGAAAATTGGTCCAATTAACTGGAGTAATAACCCACTGAAAACCATGCCTTATGCATGCACAGTGCTGTTGGCATGCTTTTTCAGGCTTGCATAGCAGCATCCAGAGAGAAGGCCAGGAGGCAGCAAGCATCCAGTGTGCCACTTTGCTGCAGAGAGTAAATGAATTCACAACACACCATGCAAGGTAAAAGCCGCATATCTCCTTAGGCTTGCAAGTTGAGGGAGCCACCCTGGACCTGTTGAGAAAAGCATTTTGCTGATGTGTTCGTCCAATAACTCCACAGTGTGGCATTTTGGTTTTTCTTTGAAAAATGAATAACTCTAGAAAATTCCATTTTAATGTTAGCATTTCCTAACTTTTGTCTCCTTTAAACTTGCAACCTTAACTTTCGCTTCATGTTGCAGTTTTGAAGTGATTATATACACTATTCTGGGATCCCTGTAAGCTTTGTAAGAAAAGACATACAGTTACATACCTTAAATGTCTGCAGCCTTAACCCTGCATTTCCTAGTCTTTTTAAATCTAAGTCCGGACATTAGTAATACTGTTCTGAATTCAGGTGCTTCCAGGAACAGTTAGGGTTGCCAGGTGGTTTCAACAGAAATACCAGACACACTTGACATTACATCACTATCTACATTACATCCTATTTAGGAAATACCGGACATTTATATTTTCACAATTATATTTTCTCAATTTGTTTCCCGAACAGAAAGCTCAAATACTGGACTGTCTGGTTCAAAACTGGACACCTGGCAACCCTAGGAACAGGGTCTGTGTGACACTCTTCAAAATGGCATCCCCCATCTATGATACATGATTCTGTCTCAGTGTGGGGCAGAAGACAAACTTTGAAAAACAAGCCTGGCTAGCGTAAAACCAGATGAATGACCTGCCTACTTTGAAATGGCTTTCCATGGGTGGGTTTTTCTACTGTGTTCCCTGACTAAATCCGTGTGTGAATATAAAGTATCAAGCAGTCTTATATGGCGGTACTTGGATATTACAGTTCTGGGTAATGCTAGAAATAGTTTACATAAAGAAACTTCTGTTGGCCGTAACAATTCTGCCAAGGCAATGGAATGGTGGTGGGTGCACGTCATACAACACAGGGTAGTAAGGAATACTGTAAAATGAACAATTAGATGAACATTTCAGATTGTACGTCCTCCTAATTATCCTTTTAATTATTCATCTAAAACAAGTAAAATGACCCCTGACAGAGCCATAAATGATTTAGATGCTATGAAATATTTATAAGATGCAACTGAAATCCCCACTGTGCATTGTAACAGATGCACATGAATCTGCTTTCTCGGATTCCTCCTCATATGCAATTTTATGGATGGGATTTATAGCCGATTGCATGCAATCTGCAATATTTTTAAAGCTACTGAGTTGGTGGGGGGCAGGGAAGCATGGCATAGCTTTCAGTCACCTTTTTTTTTGATGGAATAGGTATAATTTAAAATAAAGATGGAGGTCCAGATTTGATAGGTGGGGAGCAGAGAATTCTCCATGTTGGAGGTGAACTCCTGCTGGTACCAGCAGCCTAGAGCCTGTCCCTATGTTTCCCCAGCCAGCTGGACCACTAAGAGGGTATGTCAGGGAAATATGGAATGAAGCTCCACTGTATCAGTGGTACAACTTTGGAGCTGCTGCTGGGCAGAGCTTGTTCTGACCCTGCAAGATAGGAAAGTTTCATTAGCTCCTTCACAGCTGCCGGGCAGGAGAGAGTCTAGCCTGGACGATTGTCATTCCATGGTGGTTCACAGCTATTCTGTTGTTTGTCCGCATAGAGCAGAACTTTCCCATTGGTGCATAATGAAAATGGATGTATATGATTGAGTCCATCTGTTTCTATTGTGATGGCACCGTTTGGTTAAAAAGGCCTGAAATTACTCATTGACCATGTTTTCCACTGGGGACTTTTTCCGACTGGGATGGGGAAGATCCCTCCATCCCTTTTGAGCTTCCAGGAAGGAAAGCAGCCATTGTGACATTATTGTTCCTATTTTCCTTGTTCAGTTCCCAAAGAAACGGGGCCTTGTTTAACCTGGGGCTGATTTACCTGCTTTCTGTTACTTTGCTGTATCCGTCTGGCCCGATCCTGTCACACTGATGACTGAATTCCAGCGGAGATTTAAAAACGCCAGCTGAAAGTTTGTCGTTTCACATTACATTGCCTAGGACTTGTTCAAAAAGGAGTAGATCGAGATGGCAGAAGATGGAGGCCCTTGGGTCCTGGGGGCCCAAATGCAGTAGGTGGTGCTGCCTAGGTACTTGAGGAGAACTTCATTGGGATAACAATTATGACATAGCTACATTTTAAAAACCCTTTTCACTGTTAGGCAGGGGGTTTGTAACAAGGATTTTCGGAGTCGGTTCCCAGATTTTAAAATCGACACAATACTTCTCCTCTGTTCCCAACCTCTTGTCTGCTTTCATTACGCACTCCTCATGGTAGACACTAAACTTACAGGCAGTGCTCTCTGTTAGGGCCTCAGGCTGCTACGGGCATGTAAAATACAAATGAATGTGGAAATTAAATATTTGGCCCTTACTCTAAATGGTACATTAATAAGAACGGCCAGACTGGGTCAGACCAAAGGTCCGTCCAGCCCAGTATCCTGTCTGCCGACAGTGGCCAATACCAGGTGCCCCAGAGGGAGTGAACTGAACAGGTAATGATCAAGTGATCTCTCTCCTGCCATCCATCTCCATCCTCTGACAAACAGAGGCCAGAGACACCATTCCTTACCCATCCTGGCTAATAGCAATTAATGGATTTAACCTCCATGGATTTATCTAGCGCTTTTCTGTAATCCCATGGGCAGAGCCAGAGCTGCCTGGCACGGGGCTGGCTGAGGTTTGAGCAGTCTGATAGCTGGGGGAAAGATGCTGTAGTCATTGCTGGCCAGCTGAGACAAGAAGGTTACTCTTTGGCTCATGCTTTTGATGGCATCATAGAACCATAGGAATAGCACGGACTGCAGCAGTCATCTAGTGCTAACCCCTGTCAATATGGCCTCCAAAACCGAAGGGTCGCCAACAACGGTTCCCCTAATTTATTTCCATCATGTGCAGAATAACTTTTATGTGCACTGAGGCCTGTGCAGACGTGCACCACCAGTACAAACACGTGCTCCTTGCTGTGGGCACGGTGGGCGCTCTGTTAATCAGCTGGGTGGCATTTGAATCTCTCCTGGGTGGCTGCCCAAGCGTTCAGCTTGCAGCTGCCTTGTGAAAAACCACCATTGCTCCACTGTTCTTGCAGCAAGGAAGTTTTTCCTGAGATTATGAAGAAACTTTGGTACTCCCCCGTTGTTTCCACGGGCACTACCTTTCCCTAATGGACCTGTGTCGCTCATAGGAGCGCTTGTCTTTCCTCGCGGGGCTTGATACAGTGAGAAAAAGAAAGCCACCGTAATCGGGCAATTTTGTTCATGATCACTAATCGTTACCGCGCTAGCCAAGCAAGACTCTAAAAATCTGTGTCCCTCTCTTTGTCTTGTGTGTGCAGTTGCCATCCTTCTGAAGGACGACTATTTCATCAGCGGTGCCGGGCTGCCAGGGAGATTCAAAGCTGAGAAAGTGGAATTTCACTGGGGGCAGAGCAATGGATCCGCCGGCTCGGAGCACAGCATCAACGGCAAGAGGTTCCCTGTGGAGGTGAGTGGCGAGGACACGGAGAAATGGGCGGCAGTCGAGTGAGGTGCAGCAGGTCCTTCCTGGCTGACGGCTGCTCTGCCTGTCATCTCGGGAGACAGAGCTGCTACCTGTGCCAGCTTCCCTGTTTGCTCCACGAACGGGGCCAGCCAGCCTTGCCCGCTTGTTGCATGTTCACACCAGCGGTTTTGTGCTTTCTCCCAGGCCACTTTTTGCAGGAGAGGAGCCCCTCGGAAACATCGGCAAAGCTGCCTCGTACTCGCTCGTGGGGCCCTGAATGCATGGGGCCCAAGGCATCCGCCTTGCCCAGAGGCCGGGCCTGAATGGGTGTGTGGGTTGGCCCAAAGCTGAGAGCTGCTGCGCTTAGGTTGTGCAGTGGGTGCTTTTCGCATCGGCTGTCTTTGGGAAGGCGGTGGTTGGTTGCAATTAAAGTCGGATTTTAAACACTTCGTTCGGGGCTCCCACGTGGACTTGCAAGTGGCTGCTCTTTGTCAGACTGCGCTGAGCGAGAGCCACACTCGCACTGCTCCCGAGAGCGTCTCTTGAAAAGACACACGTTTCAAAGGTCGGGCCTGAGCCGTGGGCTTGGTGCCTGAGCCCCTTTTGCACAGGCAGGCTGCAGGGCTCCTTCTTGGAAACATCAGCCCATGAGGCCCCCTGGGTTTGAGTGGGCGCTCAGGAGTGGCCCGGAGGCCACTACTCCTAACGCAGCAGCAGGCACCTGGCAGAAGGGCCTTGCTCAGTTTTTGCAGGATGGAAGTTGGAACCGGTTTTGCGTAATGCTCCTTGCAAGTACAGGTTGGACCTCACTGCTCCGGCACCCTCAGGACATGAGTGGTCCCAGGTGAAGGAACTTGCCGGACCACGGAAAGTCTCCTGCCACCAGCCCCCTCACCCTGCCGCCCCTCCCTGCTGCCGGACAGGCGACATGGCTGCCCCGGCCTCTCTGCCATAGCTGGTGCTCCAGCCCCACTGCCGGCATGGAAGCATGCAGTCCTGGCCCCGCTGCTGTGGCAACGGCCCCCCTGCCGGCCAGCACACGGCCCCGATTGGGCGGCTGACCTACCACAGCCCTAGATGGGCTTTCTCTGCTGGGCTGCCGTGGCCCAGTCTTACTGCCAGCCAGGTTGCTGCGGCTCTGTCCCGGCATGCAGCCCTGCTCGGGCTGCCCTGGCACAATCCCGCTGCCAGGCCAGCACACACAGGCTGCCCCTTCCCCGCTGCTGAGGCCCTGCTGCCACTGACCTCACCTTTCGCAGGGCTCTCAGCTGCTGGCCCTCCTGCCTCGTGGCTCTCTCGTTCAGCAGCATCCACAGTCCTGCGGGACGAGAGTCCCCGTTTAGGGAGATGCAACCTGTAGCTCTTACTTCATGACACTTGCAATTTCTGGCCAGAAACCTGGTGCTGTGTCCTAGTGGTGGCATTTCCAGGCCTGCTATTAAATGAAAAAAGGATGGGGAGGAACATACAATGAAGGCCCCGCTCATCTCGGCCCATAGACACAGGCCAGTCAGCTGAGGAATACTCAGGGGCGCTTTGTGTTCCACGTCTGGCACTGTTCTAATATCCAAGGGCAATGCTGGTCGTCTGCGGGCAGAACTGAACCTGGAACCTCCGGAGCCTCGCGCGTGTGCTACCCCCATGAGCTAAAAGCCAGCTGCCTCTCAGCTAAGGGTGTAGTGCAGACTCAGCGTTCCCTCTGCACGTCAGTGCCAGTCGATGGGACAGTGCACCACGCCCAGCAGGTGTGTGGGTTACACATGCAGGTGACAGCGAGTGATCTCCTACCCCAACTGGCAAACCAGATGTGCCCTCTGCAGATTCCCGTTAGTTCCACGGCACCTCCCCCGGGACCACGGTGGCTCAGTGTCAGTCATAGGCTTCGTTCTGTAAACATCCAGTGCAGACGAGCATGCCCCAGCCCAACAAACCGTTAGTCTTTTTGGGGAGGCGCATGCACTGATTTCAGAAACTAATTAGAAACATCAGATGCGGTGCAGAGCCTTATGGTTTGACCATGTTGTTTGTTTGGTGTTGTTACAACTAATGGGTCAGATGGGGAGGCGGGCTGTGGTAATTGGTCCCCTTCATTGACGCCCATCTGGATCGTATCTTTTGTGATTTATATGTTAAATTACTCGGTAGGGTATATGAGAGTGTCCTTTTGTTTCGCACTTCAAAGGCCAATCGGATAAAGGCATTGTATTTTCAGTACTTCTGTTTATACTGAGTGTAATTGTTATCTGTGTTCAGTACAGTTAAAAACATTTTAAATGGCTGGTTTCGTGATGTGGCCTCGACTGCTTACCTGGTCCTTAGATTTTCTTTTGCAGACATTCGCTCATTCCGTGCCTGCCTGGCCTTTATTAACTTGGCGGTATCTGAAATCACCAGAGTACAGCTCTGGAGTGGTGAACGCTAGCATTATGGTAGCTGTTCCATGCTCCCCAAATGTCTGTCTTTGGCCACATGATAAGGCTATGGTACCAATGCCAGTGGGCCCTGTGTATTGCAGCGATCGCTTCTTTCCCACTCTTTGTGTTAGAATCTGTCTCTGGGCAGGGTCACCAGCTAGTCTGGGATGCTGAGGGTTACAGGAGTCCTCCTAGGCCAGGCCTACTCTGGTGGAGAAAATAATGCAAGATGCCAACTCCATCGGGAGACCGCCGAGAGAAACCGTCCTGTCGACCTCCCTTACTCCTCGTGACACAAGTACCACGATCGACCGGGGTGCCCTCCATATTCGATTTAGCAGGTCTTTACTAGACCCGTTAAATCAAACCCTGGAAGATGGATAGCCGGAGTGTCAATCCTCCAGTAAGTGGAGACAAGGCCTGGGTAGTGTCAATAATTCTGAGGAAGGTGTGGGCTCTGGACTTGACTAGGGAACATTTCCTGTGAAGTGACAAAATTAAAATAGAAAATAAAATAGAAGCTCCCTTCCAGCCAGCACAGAATGCAGGACCTCCCTGTTGGATCCAATAGTAATAATAGCGGAACTTTAATCCTCTTCACCGCCGCACTATTTAATAGCCTGGCCTTTGTGGAGGTTGGGACACAGAGGTCACGCAGTCTTTCGGACCTGCTAATATGGTAGACATGGGCAGTGGGTGAAGGTAGGGCTGGGGGAGGCAAGCCCTGCCCCCCCAGCCCTGCCCCCAACTCCACCCCTTCTGCCCAGGTATTATGGGGAGGTGGGTGCGCATGGCCTCAGCCCCCCACCCCAACACTGGGGAGAGGCAGGAGGGTGTACAGTCCCAGCCTTCCTGACCCCGGAGCACATGCAGGATGGGCGTTCATGGGAAGCAACGCTCCACCCCACTACGCTTACAACAAGTGTTCTGGGGGTGGAGTGTGGACAGTGCCCATGCATGGCAGTTTGGGAAGACAAAGCCTTCCCCTACCTATGATACCTGCCGCCCCTGATGGTAGAAGCACAGGTATATAGCATCACAGGCAGGCTAATGATAGACGTGTAACGTTCTGCTGACACCATCCAACACCTCTGTCTTCGCATGACGGGGATGTTTTCAGTTGCACCCTATTCATTTTCATGCAAAATGCTGATTATTTCTATGAAGAGCAGAAATCGGAGGAGTAATTTTAATCATGGCTGTGTTAATTTTATATGAGCTGCGGCTGTTTATGAGCTTTCTTTTTAATGGCTCTAATTGTCAGTTATAATGTGGATGCCATTATACAGTAATATACAGTAATTTATTTAGTAAATGAGAATCTTATTCCAAGGGCCATACTGCAATATGCCAGAGAGACCTAATCCCATTAATCTTACATGAGCAAACTTTGTACTGTCTGGCACCCTCAACCGGCCTCCTATAAACACTGCTCTGATTTTGCACATGCAGGCTGCTGCATTGTGCATTTTTGGAGATCTCTCTCTTTTTTTCTTTTTAATTGGACACAGCTCAAGAGAGGGGTTAAAGTTGTGCCCTTTCCCAAGGAAGGGTTCCACGTTATGGTGACTGACGCATTTCTCTAAATTATCGTCATAAGCAATCATTTGCATGGGCATTTCTTATTCTTCCTTAAATACACATCTTGGAACATAGTCCCACATAGTCTTTGTGTTGTTCCTCTAACTCCCTGTTTGTTCTCTCCTTGGATTATACTAGTAAAACTAACTCCCTGGTTGCCCAAATCTGGAGCTGGTTACTCCAATATGAACGTCTGTATTGTCTCCCATAAATGTATCACGTGGTACTACCGATATCATATGGCCCATTAGCTTCACATGATCCTTTTGTTTCCTATTGCTACTTGTGTGTCTCTGGTGTAGAAGAAATGTGTGTGATTCGATACAATGAAGCTCTTTCCAGAGGAAATAAAAAGAGATCTAGTATATTTGTTTACTGTTACTGTCAATATTAATACCATGAGCCATCCCTGTGGCCATATAATATAGTTATAAGGCCCCTGAAAAACCCAGGGGGCTGAGAGTAATGCTTGTCTTTTCAGTGTTAAAATCAAGACCTGGTTCAGTCTCTCATTTTAGACTCATTTTGTGCAAGCAGCTTTTCATTAGTGTTTGGGGCAAACCTTTTCACATTTGTGTACTTTGGGGGGTGATGCAAAGAAGAGCCTAGCGCTAAATGTTTTCTTGGAGTCCACTGTTAGAGCTACCATGCTGCTTTATCGTCCAATCATTGGGTTTGTTACCGTCGGCATGCTGCACCTCGGAGAGTAATATCATTGCTAAAATATTGCAGCTGGCTCGAAGCCGCAGTACAGTGTTCTCGTGACACAGGTGGACAGGAGTGGCTCTGTTTTCCTGAGAGTTCATTTGGTGGTTGCTCTTGAAATTTCCTTGCCTCCATCTGGCAGAACGCAAATCAGTAAATGATGGAGGGAATTTAAAGAGACAATTGGGAAAATCTCACAGCAGGAGGCTTTGAGCAGAGAAAGATTTTTTGCTGTAACTGTCTCTCTGAAGGCCCAATCTTATAGTCCAGTGTTTCCCAAATGGGGCTCCGTGGAACCCCGGG